ATGGATCTCTTACAAGAATCAAGCTTACTTGGTTCTAAGCCAGCAGCAACACCACTAGATCCTTCCATCAAAATCCATGCTGATGGTGGAAAACCCTTTTAAGACATTGGAATATATAGGAGGATGATTGGTCGTTTGCTATACCTGAACACAACTCGACCAGACATCACGTATGCCACGCAACAAATGAGTCCATTTCTTCACCACCCTACTATGGCCCATTTTCATGCTGCTTGCAGAATCATTCGATATCTCAAGAACAGTCCTGGACGAGGTCTCTTGTTTAGCAGAAAATCAGAACCTCAGCTCCTTGGCTTCTCAGATACTAACTGGGCAGGATGCCTTGATCCACGAAAATCCATATCTGGTTGTTGCTTCTTCCTTGGTTCTTCCCTTATTTCATGGCGCACTAAGAAACAACAAACGATTTCTCGATCCTCCTCAGAAGCTGAATACCGGGAATTATCATTTGCTACTTGTGAATTACTTTGGTTGACCCTTTTAATGAAGGAACCATACTAGCATTGATGATGAACCTAGGCATTCTCTAGGCATTCACCCTGAAAATTCTGCACATGAATCCCACCCAGAACAGACCATTTCAGAAAACAACAGTATTGATCATACTCATAGCTCTAATCAACATGTAACAAATTCTGACCCTGTCCATCATATTCAGAACCCTAATCAACAAGTAACAAACTCTGACCCTGTTCCACAAACCAGACATGTTAGAAATAGACTGGTTCCTCATTATGTCTTAGATTATGTGTGCAACACTTCCAATGTTTCAGCAGATACAACATCTTCAGGTAAAACTTCAGCTTATTCTATTTCTAAATATGATTCTTTGTCTCATCTCTCTGCATCTCATAGTATCTTTCTATCCTCCATCACACACACACATGAACTAAAGAATTACAAAGAAGCATGTTTATCTGAACATTGGATCAAGGCCATGAAATCTGAGTTGGATGCATTACACAAGAATGGGACTTGGGACATAGTTGATTTGCCACCTCATGTCAAGCCTATTGGAAATAGATGGGTCTTCAAGATTAAGCATAGAGCAGATGACACGATAGAGAGGTATAAGGCCAAGCTGGTTGCCGAAGGATATAATTAGATTGAAGGATTAGATTTATTTGACACATTCTCCACTGTAGCAAAGCTAACAACTGTCAGGACACTCTTTGCAGCTGCTGCTAAAAATAACTGGTTCTTACACCAACTTGATGTGAACAATGCCTTTTTACATGGAGATTTGCAAGAAGATGTATACATGATAGTTCCTGAAGGTATTCCCTGTACCAAATCCAACCAAGTGTGTAAGCTTAACAGAAGTCTCTATGGATTAAAGCAAGCCAGTCGAAAATGGTATGAGAAGTTAACAGCTTTGTTGATCCAACAAGGCTATACTCAATCTATCTCTGATTATTCTTTATTTGTTTTGAAAACTGACAAACATCTCACAGCCATTTTAGTGTATGTTGATGACATAATTCTAGCTGGAAATTCCATGCTTGAATTCAATCGTATCAAAACTTGTCTTGATGACAGTTTCAACATAAAAGATCTAGGAACCTTGAAATACTTCCTTGGTCTAGAAGTTGCTCACTCAAAGGAAGGTATTTGTTTGTCCCAAAGGAAATACTACATGGATCTCTTACAAGAATCAAGCTTACTTGGTTCTAAGCCAGCAGCAACACCACTAGATCCTTCCATCAAAATCCATGCTGATGGTGGAAAACCCTTTTAAGACATTGGAATATATAGGAGGATGATTGGTCGTTTGCTATACCTGAACACAACTCGACCAGACATCACGTATGCCACGCAACAAATGAGTCCATTTCTTCACCACCCTACTATGGCCCATTTTCATGCTGCTTGCAGAATCATTCGATATCTCAAGAACAGTCCTGGACGAGGTCTCTTGTTTAGCAGAAAATCAGAACCTCAGCTCCTTGGCTTCTCAGATACTAACTGGGCAGGATGCCTTGATTCACGAAAATCCATATCTGGTTGTTGCTTCTTCCTTGGTTCTTCCCTTATTTCATGGCGCACTAAGAAACAACAAACGATTTCTCGATCCTCCTCAGAAGCTGAATACCGGGAATTATCATTTGCTACTTGTGAATTACTTTGGTTGACCCTTTTAATGAAGGAACCATACTAGCATTGATGATGAACCTAGGCATTCTCTAGGCATTCACCCTGAAAATTCTGCACATGAATCCCACCCAGAACAGACCATTTCAGAAAACAACAGTATTGATCATACTCATAGCTCTAATCAACATGTAACAAATTCTGACCCTGTCCATCATATTCAGAACCCTAATCAACAAGTAACAAACTCTGACCCTGTTCCACAAACCAGACATGTTAGAAATAGACTGGTTCCTCATTATGTCTCAGATTATGTGTGCAACACTTCCAATGTTTCAGCAGATACAACATATTCAGGTAAAACTTCAGCTTATTCTATTTCTAAATATGATTCTTTGTCTCATCTCTCTGCATCTCATAGTATCTTTCTATCCTCCATCACACACACACATGAACTAAAGAATTACAAAGAAGCATGTTTATCTGAACATTGGATCAAGGCCATGAAATCTGAGTTGGATGCATTACACAAGAATGGGACTTGGGACATAGTTGATTTGCCACCTCATGTCAAGCCTATTGGAAATAGATGGGTCTTCAAGATTAAGCATAGAGCAGATGACACGATAGAGAGGTATAAGGCCAAGCTGGTTGCCGAAGGATATAATTAGATTGAAGGATTAGATTTATTTGACACATTCTCCACTGTAGCAAAGCTAACAACTGTCAGGACACTCTTTGCAGCTGCTGCTAAAAATAACTGGTTCTTACACCAACTTGATGTGAACAATGCCTTTTTACATGGAGATTTGCAAGAAGATGTATACATGATAGTTCCTGAAGGTATTCCCTGTACCAAATCCAACCAAGTGTGTAAGCTTAACAGAAGTCTCTATGGATTAAAGCAAGCCAGTCGAAAATGGTATGAGAAGTTAACAGCTTTGTTGATCCAACAAGGCTATACTCAATCTATCTCTGATTATTCTTTATTTGTTTTGAAAACTGACAAACATCTCACAGCCATTTTAGTGTATGTTGATGACATAATTCTAGCTGGAAATTCCATGCTTGAATTCAATCGTATCAAAACTTGTCTTGATGACAGTTTCAACATAAAAGATCTAGGAACCTTGAAATACTTCCTTGGTCTAGAAGTTGCTCACTCAAAGGAAGGTATTTGTTTGTCCCAAAGGAAATACTACATGGATCTCTTACAAGAATCAAGCTTACTTGGTTCTAAGCCAGCAGCAACACCACTAGATCCTTCCATCAAAATCCATGCTGATGGTGGAAAACCCTTTTAAGACATTGGAATATATGAGGATGATTGGTCGTTTGATATACCTGAACACAACTCGACCAGACATCACGTATGCCACGCAACAAATGAGTCCATTTCTTCACCACCCTACTATGGCCCATTTTCATGCTGCTTGCAGAATCATTCGATATCTCAAGAACAGTCCTGGACGAGGTCTCTTGTTTAGCAGAAAATCAGAACCTCAGCTCCTTGGCTTCTCAGATACTAACTGGGCAGGATGCCTTGATTCACGAAAATCCATATCTGGTTGTTGCTTCTTCCTTGGTTCTTCCCTTATTTCATGGCGCACTAAGAAACAACAAACGATTTCTCGATCCTCCTCAGAAGCTGAATACCGGGAATTATCATTTGCTACTTGTGAATTACTTTGGTTGACCTTTTTAATGAAGGAACTGCACATTACTTCCTCAAGAATACCTGTCCTATATTGTGACAGCCAGAGTGCGATGCATATAGCCTCCAATCCCGTATTCCATGAACGAACTAAACACTTGGAAATTGACTGCTATCTAGTGCGCGAAAAACTTCAGCAAGGTTTACTTAGACTGCTTCCCATCTCAACTAACGATCAGCTTGCAGATTTCTTGACCAAAGCTTTACCGACATCAACTTTCAACAAGTTTGTTTCCAAGCTTGGCATGATCAATATTCATCATGCTTAGCTTGAGGGAGGCTATTACAGTTAACAAAAGTTTGTTAAGTTTGTTAGTTGTTAGTTAAGTAACCTTCTTCTCATTGTTTAGTTAGAGATTCTTCTATATAAACATGTAATGTGCTCTTCATTCTTAATAAAAGAACTCTCCAATCATATGGAGTATTTCCTTCTATTCCTTTCTTATTTTTCTTCTCCACATTTCTGTTATGAATTCTGTTAAGAATTCTGTCATGCACAATAGTTTTGGTTGATGTTGATATTATTCTCTTAATATAGCGTTGGACGTTTGAGAAATATTATATAACCGATTACACCTTTCTAATAACTGGTTATACACTTTGCAACATTTTTCTACTTAGTTTGTCTCTTTACTTACTTGTGCTTTTAGTCTATAAATATGCGTTAGCTATGTGTTGTCATGCATAGATATTATGTTTCTATGTTAATGGAATTATAACATGCGTTTACCTTTTCAAATTTTTAAACATTAATATATAGGATTTATTTATTTTATTATATTATGAATTTAATGAGCATGTACTGACAGTATAAAATAATTTACACTTCAACCAATCACTCTCATGTATCCCGTCATATTATACTGTAAATTTTAAGTTGCTAGTTAAATGGATTAAAGCAAGCCAGTCGAAAATGGTATGAGAAGTTAACAGCTTTGTTGATCCAACAAGGCTATACTCAATCTATCTCTGATTATTCTTTATTTGTTTTGAAAACTGACAAACATCTCACAGCCATTTTAGTGTATGTTGATGACATAATTCTAGCTGGAAATTCCATGTTTGAATTCAATCGTATCAAAACTTGTCTTGATGACAGTTTCAACATAAAAGATCTAGGAACCTTGAAATACTTCCTTGGTCTAGAAGTTTCATCCGCTGCTCTAGAGAATCCATGTATTTGGAAGGGGCTTACAACCGTGTCTTGAGTGCTCGGCAGACCGTGCCACATGAAACATATGCTTATTTCATGGATCTTTTGGCAAAGACAATCAGGTAAAAGTTAAATCTGAACGCATTCTGTAGTTGGACTTAGTCAGTCTGTTTTTGTATTGCTTTCTTTTATACTCCTTTCAAGTTCCTGCAATGGAATTTTGGCACAAGCACCCATTATTATAATTTTGAATATCCATCACACCTTGGCTGTATGTTTTTTTTGCATATAGATATTTTTTTGCTGATCCTTTTGTATTTTTCTATAAAACATTCAGAGATGAGATAGCAGGATGCAGTGAAAAGGCATATGACTATCTTTCAATTAATGATGCTAAGCAAATATTGCTGTTCTCCAAAGATCAGGAGCTCTTGGAGTATCTTAAAGAGGTTAGAATCGGCACTGCCTTTAGCATATCTAGTGCAAGCATGAGTGGGAAATGACATTAGTCTTGCTGAAGCACTGTACATTGATGTTGTATAATCAAGATTAATTTCTCTTATCACAATGCATGATGTTATCTTATATGTTTCACGTTTCCAATGTATATTGATCTTGTACTTTTACTTGATGTGCATAAATCTCGCTGCACAATAATCAGAAAGATATATGTTTCACATTCCCATTCTAAAATTATTATCTACCGATTGCAGGAGCACTCTGAGTGGGAAATTAAGAACGGTTCCGTCTTCTTTCAAAAGGCAAAAGACACTGCACCTTGCAAGGAAATACCATCTCTGCAACTCATCAACCAAACACTTAGTTATGCTAGGGAGTTAGAGAGGATTGTCTGAAAGGAAATGCATGCAAATGGGCCTGAGTTTCCAGAATTTGCTATTACTGTCTTTTGAAGTTGTTTACTTCTGATTCAGTGTGGAACTAAAAAATGATTTGACCTGTGTATTGTTTCTTGGTGTAACTTTTCCTTTCTTCTTTACTGTGCTAAAACTTATGATTGTCTCACTTTTCACACTAATTCAATTTTTGTAAAAGTGTTGAACACTATTTTTAATAGCAAATAGTTAGATATTAGTATTATATTTACTTGAACTTTCAATTTTCTTAACTCTTAATTTAACTAGTTAAATAGGTTGAAAAATCTCTCACGTGCATTGAACATTAAATTGTTACTTCTTAGATTCATCTTTATAATGCATGCATATAATATTAAATATCCATGTAAATGTTACTTCTTAGAATCATTTTTAAACTAATAAAATGTTATTTGAAATCCATTATATCATAAGATTTATTTATTAAGAAAATAGTTTGGTCTAACCCATCCATACAAAACCGGCTATAGTCTATAGTTGACGTAATTGTCTTGATATTGTGTGCAGGTTACGTCCGTGCTATGATGGATACGCCAAATTAGATGCAGGAGAGCTTTGCATTGGCAAGATACTAGTATGATAATTCTATCACCACCCTTTTTAAGTCATGTTCTGCATATCTAGCTCTTATATTGCTATTTAATTTTATTATTATTCAGTGTAGATCTGATGCATAGCTTTAACATGATATGTCCCTTGAAACATATGGTCAATACAATCACAAAAATCTTAACCCTTGTGATTTAGTAGTGTTTGAAATTTCCTTTGCAAACCAATTTTCATGTCCCTTTCACCACGCATGACCGTGTTTTTCACGAATGTCTCGTGATTTGTGAAACCAAACATATGCTTTGTCAATGGTGAAGCTCAAACCTAGTTTAGATAAACTAGATTGTGGGAGGTTTTATCCTCATTCCTCACCTACAACATAAAACTAAATTGTTGATATTCTTTCATAAAATTTCCTTCAATATATGAGGAATATATTAAAACCTTTCTATGTTGTATTCTAACTATTATATGTCAAAGTGCTTTTACATACAAGTCTTGTGTGTGTTAGGTTAGGGCAACATGATTAAGCACAACTCCTGTAAATAACAGTGAATTCTAAAGATGTAGAATGAAGTTAATTGGATTGTGACAATGTTAGAAACAAGGTCTTGATAGCTGACACCTTATTTTGTTTCTGATAACCCCTATCGTGGCTCTGGTAGTCAGAAAAGTAGATAGTCTTTTGACAAATTTGAATTGCCTTAAAATATGGAATAAGAACTCTTCGTAAGATTTAATGAGGGGAGGCTCACACTGATGTTTAAAGATTTAGAAAGATTTAGTACATAGGATACACTGCATACAAAAATGTGTAAATGAATTAAGGTAAAGAGCATTTCAAAATAAGTTCATGTGTCTGAAATTGGAGGAGGTAAAGAGCATTCAAAGTGAAAATAAGGTAAAGAGCATTCAAAGTGAAAATAGAGACATTTTCTTCAATTATATCATGTTGCTGAAATTTACATTTTCTGGAGAAGGTATCATCAGTATTGATAACAGATTCCAGAATAATTATCTTACTCAGAATATATGTCCCATCCACCATTTTCTTCAATTATATCATAGCTATCTTATTTACTACACTAACCTTTTATGCTCAATGAAAATTCAAAGACCAATAGGAGGAAATCAATATCGTAATTATGATTTCCGGAAATGAATATCAGAAAATAAAAGTTTCCGTTAATATAAAAAAAATTACAATAGAATAAAAGAAAAATAAAACCAATCATGAGACACAAGTTTTGATCATAATTCTCAGAGTTCGCCCTTATCTCGGTGTTAGCATAGAATATAACCATTGAGGGTTAAGGACCAGGATGAGACACTGATGGGGTTTGCGCGGCTATCTTCAAGTTGAATATCATTGATGTTTGGAATGCATGTCAACATTGATTTGTATTACTTACATACTATATCATAAGAAAAATCTTTTGCAGGTAATATAATTTAAGGAAGAGTAGAAAAAACATTAAAATTTAAGACTTCATATAAAAATATAAGCCTTTATTTAGTTGATTATCATCAATCGAATGACGATTCAATATGTCTAAAAACAAAAAACATGTTATATTTAATAGTTAAAACATTTCAAACAAGACATTCATCATAACTAGTCAACGAAACATCCCTAAAGCTAAATAGAAAAGAGTTTTCTCTTTAGGTCATTAAAACAAAAATGAGATGGAGCAGCTATCTTTTTTAAATGATGGCCTTGATGAAACCATTGAGACAATATCATCAGCATGCACATTACCACAATTTTTTAAATCAATCTCCTTCAGTTGGGTGCAGCTTTCAACCATGCGCATCACTCCCTTTTTTGTGACACGATGACAACATCTTAGTAATAGTTGCAATAGTCAACAACAACTCTTTGAAATCTCATAGAGTGTTTTATCATCAACACTCGTAGTTATGTAACCTATTTTTCTCGAGTTACTAATCTTGACTTATTTTTTTGTTTTATAAGTGCTTCTATTGCTAGATAAGCTCAAATAAGTCAATTCATATAGGGCATTATTGTGCTATGTAGCAAGAAAAAAAGTTGAAAGGATAAAATTGGATGATTGATTGTCTTGTTAGGTAATTCAAAGGTTATTAACTTGCTGTTGACACTGATGATTTTTTATATGCTTGGTAGTTGGTCGAAGTTGGAGATTCTAGTGAGTATCAAAACACCATCTTTGAGCTTGTTAATTTCCTTGATTCTTTATTGGATGTTGCTTTGGTTGGTACCTTTTATTATGGTATTCCTCATCTCATATTTTTGTTGTTGTTTTACAAGTTAAGCTGGAAATTACCTGTTGCTTGCAAATTTATTTTGTCAGTGTAAATTTTATATATAGGTACGCCCTTGGACCTTAATTATTCCAATATTTTTACGATCAAGGCAAATGGCTTTTCTGCTTCAGATTTGGAAGCAACCAGCATGGAAGCCATATCTTTTTAAAGGAAAGCAGAGAATGCTGTTTACGACTCATGAGATTGTTCATGCGGCTCTCTATGACAGAGATGAGATTCCGGACAATATATCAGTTTCTGGTCAAATTAACTGTAGAGCTGATCTGGAAGGGTTGTCAGATGTATCGTTTCCCTTAACCGGATTAAACACAGCAAACCTTGAGGTTTCATCATACCATCCTTGTGCTCAAGTTTCAGACCAAGGTCCAGATAAGCAGGGGGTGGTGTTTTCTCCGCCATTAGGTAATTTTGTGTTGATGTGATATCAATCAACTTGTGCTCTTGGACCTCCGGTAAAGGGATTCTATCAGTTGGCTATGGTTTATGAGGATAAAGGTGAATTTCTATTTAAGTTACGTCTAATGGAAGGTTATAAATCTCCTTTGACAATGGAGTTCTGTACTGTTTCTAGGAAGTTACCCATTGTTTTGTTCAAGGTTTCCTAAACAAATTACTCACCTACAGTATAGCCTTCAAAGGCAAATTTATCAACTTCTATAAAACTTTAGGAAAGTTAATGATTAAGCATTGTTAATTGGTGAAATTGTCATATGCTTCTATGTTCTAAACTTTAAGTTTTTCATTCTATATCCACAGTAAGACACTAACGCAATTTATATTGTCTTTATATTTTATAAAAGGCACGGGCTGGAGCAGATGTTGTCAGCCCCAGCGATATGATGGACGGTCGGGTAGGAGCGATGCGAGTGGCTCTTGATGCTGAAGGCTTTCAGCATGTTTCTATTATGTCATATACTGCAAAGTAATTTTATGGTCATTTATTTTTTCTTATCTTACTTTCTGTTTATGCCAGCATGCATTGGAAATTATTGAAGATTATATGAACTTAGAATCGATGGCTATGTATTATAAGTTGTAGCATTGGGTATCGGTGAAGATATTCAAAATGTGTGGCATATTGACATTTATAATTTTATAGGTGAAGCAGTTCTGTTATGCACAAGCTGGTTTCTTATGCAAGTTATACACAATTTTATCTTCCTTTCGCTAATAATAATAGCATTCGAATTCCGTTAGTTATGCACTTAACATTTCACCATTTTTGCTAATTGCTATTCATTTGTCACTGAGTTCACTATTATTTTGGTGGACGTTGCTATTAGTTAATGCATCTTTTCTTGGCAATTATATAACTCAATCCTAAATTATGCCATTTATCTGCTACCAACAGGTATGCAAGCTCATTTTATGGCCCATTTAGAGAAGCATTGGATTCAAACCCCCGATTCGGAGATAAGAAGACGTATGTGTTATCTTGAAATCAAACTTCATATCAAATATCTAATCTATTTTACATAATTGAATCTTACTTTGCCATAAATTTGGTCTGGCTGAACAAAAGCTACCAAATGAATCCAGCTAATTACAGAGAGGCTTTGACTGAGATGAGGGAAGATGACTGAGAGGAGGCAAGCTGTGTTTACCTGTATATTGGTTTGGGCCACTTTTTCATCCCACAAATTGCGTATAATTTCTGTTTGGCAGCTTCAACTTCAAAGGTAGCATCAATATCAACACAACAGTCAGGCATCATGGTAGTTGTAACATCCTAATTTTTCCATACACTAAATAATATATCTAGTTAGATTTGAGATTTTAACAATGCTAGTTATTAAAAATTAAATGTTGAAACTAACACTTATAATAATTAATTTATTAATTAATTACTTTTTATATTTATTACTTTTATTCTTCAATTTGAATATCATCGTTTCATTTTATAAACTAAACTTTGAAATTTAAATTGGTACTTAAAACCCTTAACTTTAAGTTAATTAATTATTCATATTATTATTATCATTATTGTTGTTCTTGTTTTGTTATTATTAATTGATTTTATTTTATTTGAATATTATCATTTTACTCTATAAACCAATTAATAAATAAAATAATCTTAAGACAATAAAAATATCAAATAACTATCC